CTAGTATTTCTGACATCTTCAAGCAATTCACATCCAGAGGCAACTCGGTAATTCAGTTTATGTTCTTTTTTCTTGTACCTTTTTTTTATTTTCTAGAACGGTTTGAACGGATTCCAAGGAGAAAACAACGGATTCCAAGGAGGAAACAACGGATTCCAAGGAGGAATCGATGGATTCCAAGGAGGAAACAATGGATTCCAAAATGAAAACGGTGGATTCCAAGGTGGAAACGGTGGATTCCAAGGTGGAAACGGTGGATTCCAAAATGGAAACGGTGGATTCCCAAGTGGAAACACAGGATCACAAGGAGGAAACGGTGGATTCCAAGGTGGAAACAGTGGATTCCAAAATGGAAACGGTGGATTCCCAAGTGGAGACACAGGATCACAAGGAGGAAACGGTGGATTCCAAGGAGGAAACAATGGAAACCAAGGATTAAACAATGGATTCCAAGGAGGAAACGGTGGATTCCAAAACACGAACGGTGGATCGCAAGATGTAAACAATGGATTCACAAACATAAATGGTGGATTCCAAGGAGGAAACAGCGGATTCCAAGGAGGAAACGGTGGATTCCAAGGAGGAAACGGTGGATTCCAAGGTGGCAACAATGGTAACTTTGGTTCCACCGATGTATATTATTTGTCTGTTAATCCAATTAGCTCATTTACTTCAGAGAATTAACATTGGGAGCATTAACAACCAACAAGATTTACAAGTATGACGTTCATTTATACCTTCAGCTTATTCATATTTCAGAATATCAATAATGGGCAGCAAAACTCTAACGGATTTCTCCCAACTAATCAAATCCAGGTTGAATGAACACGTTAACTATTGTTTGTTTATTCAGTTCATTTTCTAGGGACAGCAATCGAATGGATTCGCAAACACATTAGGTTTGTACTGTTTCGTATTCTTCATGTGTTATTAAATACTTTAGAGTTTTTTCCACGTCAACCAGGACAGTTCTAAAAGCATTGTACGAACAACAACTTCATTGAACATGCTTATATACATATGATGATATAAAATAATAAACAAAAAAAAGCTTCATAAACTTAGCTTCATGACTCTCAATTAGACACAAAAGTGAATAATTCGCTATAGCTAATCTCCCAAAATGTATAAGACTGTTATTAGCATTGCCGTCATAGCAACTTCTTTGTCAACTGAGACAAATAACTGTTTGTTACAATATTCGTTTGATCGAAACACTAAAGAGACGAAATTAAAAATATTCGAAAACAATTTGGACTGAAAGTTAACTTCTAAACAGTAGAAAACAGGTTTTTGCTTTCGATGTATCACTTATTTTTAAAGTTTTAGTTCTTCACTTCGGAAGTTACTTCTTTCTGCTCATCGGCCGCAACTCCTCTGATTGAAGATGCTGCTGAATAATCTACTTTTATTCATCTTTTTTTCTGAGCTCATGGTCTGCACCTATTCCATAAAGTTCGTAGAACAGGTAAAATATGTTTTATTATCAAAAGCTTAAAACCGTTCATCCTTCGTACTAATGATTTCACTTTTAATCTTGAGTTGATTATATTCTCCATTTATCGTAATTATGACGTCTTATAGCTTAGGAAAAAAAATCAAATTTCATTTGATCTATCAGTTGTCTTGAAGTTGCGTCAGTTGACCAAAAACAAACTGTCAACCTGGTTATCAACTTATTAAAACTGGTCCGAGTGTTGTTAGTCACGCTTTCCCTAGAAGAGTACTAAGCATATTTTTAGTTACAAAGTTGTGTGTGAACGTCAACGATCATAATTGAGAATTTCAAACATGAATATAAGATTAGCGTAATACCCTTCCATCAGATTCAAAAGTCAGCAATCGAAGTTCTTCACACTTCGCAAGTAGGAACAACTTCACGGCAGTGTACCTGTAACGAAATGACAAACTGTTACGATTCGGCTCGGAATGAGGCTTATGACTGCTTCACCCCTTGTTGGCACGAAGTTCAAAAAGTGAAAAAGAGATTTAATTATTGAGAACATGTACATATTGTAGATCACATCTGATCCAAAAACATTGAAGACTTGTTTCGACGCTCGCAAAGGATTTTTAGAAGAATTGGTCAACTGTTTCAAAGACAAATTACGAGCGTAGTGGCTTCCATCACTTTGGCTTGTTATGTATGCCTATTACAGATGTGCTCAAGATGTTTCGAAAGCTGAACAGATTCAAGTTCATAATTATGATTATGTAGCTATGATAAACCGAGCCGAATTGGTTATCCAGAATCAAATGGCCAAGTTCTTACAATCAGTAACTTCTCCTTCTGTAAAGGTAAAAATATTCAACAAAATTGTTCCATTCATCTAAATGCTTTTCCGTCTCTTAACTCTGTTATACCTCATCTATTCCTATAATTCGTAATGCTCACAGCTGTACACATAAAAAACCATCTCAAGTTTGAGCAGCTGTATTGAAGATCACCAACTACTTCACTTGAGTCTCAATTTATCGCGTGTTCCCTTATCTTCCGTAATACGACTTCCATACTGGAAGGTCTCTGTTCGCCATAGTACATTCCTCTTCTCACTAGTTGGGTTTGCTTTGCTAAAAAAGTTGGAGGATATTTTATAATTGAACGAGGCACATACATAACAATACCCAGAGAATCACGGGGAAATGTATTCTCAAATGTTTTTTTCAGCAAGTAATTGATGCTGCTACAAATCTAGGTCGATGTGTCAAAGAGTGTTTCATAGAGAAGAACAAAAACGGTTTCTGTTTTGATAAAATTCCGTGAGACAAATCATTCATAAGAAATGTATTGATGTGAAAGTTACAGTTGCCAGCCGAATATATCTGATAGAAATGCCAAGCAAGCTGTTCGTCAGTGTGCCCGTCAAATAAGTTGGAAGACCGAGATTGGGGAACTCTGCAAATGTTCCAGTGCAGCTGGAGTAAGGTTAGTATCTCTTGCTTTATTCACCAAACAATCGTTGCTCGTTAATATTACGTTTTCAGTGGAATTTCTGATTATTGCGGGATGCTGCGGGTTATGGGCTAAGAAGACAGAATGATTCTTAAATATATAACATTTAGTGATACAGGCCCCAATTTCCATTATTCCCAAATACTTATTATGAATATATAAACTAAAGCTTATTGACTTTCTCTCAAGAACTGGGTTGGTAGGAAAAGGCTTCAGAACTGAATGGACAATGACAATAAGACAAGTTTCATTTCAAAATATAAATATTTACAAAACAAAAATAATTCATAGGCTCAAATCCTACACTTTCCCCCTCCACAAAATTAGCATATGAAAGAACTGAAGAAGTTCCTTGTTACTGACGGACAGACTTTCTAGATAGGCGCAAACAAGAATAAAAGGTTATAATTAGACATTTCAAGTAAGATAAGACTAAAAACAATGCAAATTAGTTATTCGTCTTGCTTCTGCTAGTCAAAAGTATGCTACAAACAGGGGTAGAGGAAAGATAAACGAAGATTATACGCCTGACTTTATTACTCGCAATATAAAGCTCCGTATAATTTTTTTTTAGCTGATCATATTAATTCTTAACATGGAAGGTCACTTTAGAAATCACCGGATAGATGTACCATTGAAGCTTCTAACTGTTCTTTGGAGTCATCTCGCCGGATCAAACCTATTCGCTTCGATACATTTTCTCTTACTTAACTCTATTTCCCCTTTTGTTCCCATTTCGCCTCTTAGAGTGATGACTTTTCCTAGTCTGCGTTTTTTCATTTGGTCGGGATACAGGAGTGTTTTTCGTACCAACTGAAGTGGATTTTCCCAAATTTTCAGAATTGCTCGATCTCTGATTACCAGGGCTTTTCGAAACACTATTATCTCTAAAAATTACATGGAAACTTGCAAACTGAGATGTAGATTTACCTTTTATCTTTCCTAGGATTGAATCCTTCTCGAATACCCGTAAAGTTCGAAGAATAATTAGTAGTAGAAGATGAAAGAGGAGTTTTTGAAGCATGGCGCGTTGATGGAGCGGGTGAAGGAGAATATGATACGTCTCTCTCTTCGGGAGAATGTCGGGGTTCCGCATGTTTTTTTCCTGATTTTGAATGATCAGTATTAGGCTATAAATAGAAAGCTTATGATAAACTGAGATTGAGAAACTATACCTTTTCTAAGTGGAACTTTGCGGAGAAACGCTTATAGAACGTTGTTGCTTCTACTAAAGAAACTCTAAGTTCCTGCGCTACTTGGTCTGGTTTGTTCCCAAACTTATTGAAGGCTATAATAAACGGTAAAGAATAAACAGATGCCTCAGTTATAAACCTTTGACAAAGCTAAACGCCTCATCCGGCGTGTATTGTTTGAGGGAGAACTTCGTCAGACATTTCCCCCATGGTCTCAACAAAGAGCATCTGGAGAATATGGTTGAGTTATACCAATAGAAATAACAAACTTCTCATCAGTTTTTGTTTCGAATTTTTTGGTAAATGAACACAACTGTTCTTTCGGTAGCTTAACATGCCTTCCTTTCAAAAATTGGTTCGGAATCTAAAAGAGGGTTGACATTACATTGTATCGATACTACTAACTTCATCGGCATTAGGGAACTGTGTGATAGATGCCATGCGTTCTTCTTCTATAATTTGTTGGACTTCATAGATACTGTAATGTCTTTTGGTTTCTTTCTCCAAATCGAACCACTTTTGTGCAATTTTGTATTCTGGCTCGATTAGTTGAGCCGCTGGCTCACGATGGTATCGGTATCGACTGTAATAACAAAAGTTTATGAAACGAAAGAAGAAAGAAAATCACCTGAAAAAATGCATGCACAGATCACAAAAACTCTCTGGTACTCGTTTAACATCCCCCCATATATACTTCGTACAGTTAGAACACTCAAAACGATGAACGCATTTCGCATCCTCGAGTAACCTGAAAATAAGTTTATAAAGCACAAGGTCTATCAATGACTCACTTCTCCCGACAAAGGCATCTGTTGTACAGTTCATGGAAACAACCTTTCTTCTTTGTTTCATAATAGTATGCCAATATTTCTCCTAAGTAATACGTCTTTAACTGTAATCGTAAAGTATCATTATGGATAAAGTATTATCTCATACAAATTTCTCTTGAAAAAGCCTGAAGATTTTTTCTCCTTCTCTATGCTTTCCTAACGGATTCCCTTGTTTTCTTAAGTGCCGTTCAAACTCTCTCTGCTGGATTGTGTTAAAGCTAGAAATAATTATGTATATTACATGTTCCGAATGCGAACAAACTCTTCGAACGGCTGGGGTAAGTTTTCAAACTGTTCCAGTTCTATGGTGCGTAGCATTTCCTCAATATTATAATCACACTTCATTAGTCGGTATAACACCTGAATTTTGAAATCTGCTTTGGAAAACTCTAACTGCTTACCGAATCTAAAGGGATCTTTCCTTTGAATTGTCTTCTAATAACACACCAAGCATCGTCCAGCTCTCGATCAACTCCATTCAATGTTGTAGAATCTTTCCAAATCTTGAGAATTTAGAATGAAACGTCTAGTAAAGTGATAACATACCAACACGTCTCTATCAGCATCTTCTTCTGGCGCCCGTGACCAATCAATTGGGGAGTAGAGATTGACCGTGGCCTGAACTATGTTTAATAAACTCCTTGGCTTATTCTAAACCTGATAACTGTCCCCCACCAGAATTTCGCTATATCTTCGCTTTGGTCGAGAACGGTTTTCGTCGGGCTCCTTAACTTCACGCTTATTCGGACCAACCTTAAGCAAACGAATGATTAAAATGAGGATTACGGCTTAGGATAGACCATATGAATTTTCAATCTATCTTTCTCCTTTTCAATATCAGATTTCGGTAACACAAAAGGTATCCGTTGAGATCCTCGAGGTGGGTTTACTTGACGAGCTTAACCGATTAATTAGTTCAAGATATGATTTGATAAGTTATTACGTTCTTTCAGATCTGAGGAATCTACATAATTGTTAACCATCTCAGTAGGATCATCTCTGTTTCGTGTAACCCTAAAAGCCAATTACTCAAGATATCCAATCATCGGGTGAACCTGTTTCGCCTCTCTCCTTCTATGTTGCCATTGTGACTAATATTATGAGCACTTCTTCTCAACGACCGTCTTTCCGCTCTCTGACTCTCCCCTGAGCTAGAGGGATGTTGTCCATCATACTGTAGAGCAGTTAGATAATTTTGATCAGAGAATTCGCCATACCATAGCCTCGAGTATTGGAGGAGGAGTAAGCGAACGCGAATGGGATAAGTTAGAAACTGATGACAAGCGATCCTTCTCATCATCATGGATTATCATATCAGGATCAGGACAAGTCAAAGTAGGAATCTGCAATAGATAATGCTTACCAAATTCAAAAAGTACGAACCTCATTGGAATCACCCTCACTACCATGTGTCCTATGATCCATAATATACTGGGTTTCAATTGACGGTACAGGATGCTGTTTTCTGATAACCTTAATCATTTTTTTCAGGATAAATTGAGTTTTGTTTTTCGCACATTTTCTTTCCATCCGTTTTTAGATGATTTTGAATGTAATATTGTAGCAGCAGTTGAGGCTACTTCCATAACCTTCCTCACCGCTTCTATGTAGCAGTAACTGATCTGAAAAGTTATCAAATTTTGCGTCCGCAACTTTTAGCATCATAGAATTCTCCGTGAAATTGAACAATAATTGAGTTTGTTTCGATACGATAAGCTTCAAGAATGATGTAACATATTAATAGAAGGCTGTAGAGGTAAACTCATGAATACAGTAACTTGGATGAACCTACAGTACGCTTATCAAATTATTAAGATAACTAAAAGGCGTACTAATTTCGAAAAAAAAATAGAGGAACTGTGAAGACCTTTTTATTATCTTTTATTTCAAATTCCTCGTCTTATACAATTTATCGAAAGGTAGAAGAAGCAATGCACACAGGCGGAAAACGCCTTGCCGGTAAAGAATCTATCTCAACACCGACGAGACAGTACACTCTTACGTGAGGGCACAGATGAAAAAACTAGCAGGGAGCATGTTTTAGTATGTGTTGACCAAGATGCGCAGGTACGACATAAGGGTAGCCAGCTAGAGTGCATTTATCACCATTTTTCTTTCAAATAATAACATTCCTCTTAGAGAAAAACTTTATAAGAATGTTTTGTTCTCAATAGAAAATTAATGAAAAGCTCAACCTTAATCAAAAACCGAAACTTTCGGGTCTGACCATGACAAAAGCAACGCTAAGCGCGAGCGGTTAAGTGCGGCCATCTACCGTATGTGGTGGAAAAGAGAGACCAAGACGCAGAGAAAAAAAGAGAAAATCAATAGCTCCGCCTCTTTTTAACATCATAAACTGTTGAATCGTAGTCAGAAAAGTTATTGTAATGAGATAGAGCTTCGATGAGTTGAATCAACACTGGTCTACTGGCTAAATTACATTCTTGGAAATGTTTTTAAAATGAGTCGCCGATTCATAGAACAGAATTTCTGTAAGTTCCGGTTCGAGACAGCCACATATCTTGAGCCGAAATTTTTGAAAGAAATCAGAGAAAACCCGCAATGATTTACCGAGGGGCCACAAGAATGAGAGTGTAAATATGAAGCAATCCTAAAGCATTACGGAAGATGTTTCCGAGAAACATTAAGAGTGCTGTTGGCGTCTTATCCGCTTCGCAAAAACGTTTTCAGAGATCAATCTCATAGAACTACTTCTGTTCAGAGAACTGTTTATGAATTTTCCGTCCCTTGCAGAATTTTCCTAGTTTGTCGAATTTGCCTTTGTTCAAATTTTACTGTATCTATCTCAAAATTCCACCTAAATAAGTACACTAACTCATTTTCTCTTCATCTCATATCTAGTACAAATCTCATTGTGAATGTTCTTTATTGCAAGTTCAGTCATAACTATTATTAAGCTATTTACAAATGAAAGTGTTATAACTTAGTGAAGAATTTTATTGAGAACCCAGTGATTAAGGCTCGATAACCATTTTACTGAAAAAAAAATCGTTCAAAGTTGCTCGTCAAAATAGCCTACTTAGTTTGAAGTTGTGTTTTATCTTTATTAATCACAAAAGTCTTATCCGAAGAAAGCTCCGTTTCCTCCTTGTGATCCAGTGTTACCACCTGGGAATCCACCTTGGGATCCTGTGTTACCACCGGGAAATCCACCTTGCGATCCAGTGTTACCACCTGGGAATCCACCTTGGGATCCAGTGTTACCACCTGGGAATCCACCTTGGTTTCCATTGTTGCCACCTTGGAATCCACCGTTTCCTCCTTGGTTTCCATTGTTTCCACCTTGGAATCCACCGTTTCCATTTTGGAATCCACCGTTTCCTCCTTGGTTTCCATTGTTTCCACCTTGGAATCCACCGTTTCCTCCTTGGAATCCACCGTTTCCATTTTGGAATCCACCGTTTCCATTTTGGAATCCACCGTTTCCTCCTTGGTTTCCATTGTTTCCTCCTTGGTTTCCATTGTTTCCTCCTTGGAATCCACCGTTAAAATCAGGAAGGATAGTGTAGTTATTTCTACCGTTCTAGAAAAGAAAAAAAAGGTACAAGAAAAAAGAACATGAACTGAATTACCGAGTTGCCTCTGGATGTGAATTGCTTGAAGATGTCAGAAATACTAGTTTTGATGTTCTCGATGTAAGGCTTGATGGAATCA